GTGAAAGTGTAGTCGGTGTCCACGCATGAGTTCAAATCTCATAGAGCCTACAGAACTACTCACAATTCAAATAAATAAGCATAGATTCATTCCTCAACATGAACCGCCAGAGGATTTGCGTATTAAGAATTTTTTAGAATCTTACACAGTGTGTCAATGGGTGAGCGTGGCAGACTGGAGGCAGGGTTGTTGAGTGGACATGCTTTCGGGACTTTGCGAACCACAAGAGCTGGTTCATCTCATAGATAACGCAGTTACCAGATAATGAAAAATTTGCAAAGGATGATTTATTGTTATTGTGTTTGTCACAAGATTGCAGGGTGTGACATAGCTCTAAAAAAGCGATTCATGTTTGCTGGACTTCCCGGAAATGAGGAGCTAATTTGTGAACAATTATGCTGCAAGGAACGCGGTATAATACTGGAACATTTCAAATTTGAAAGAATAGTATAGCTTTACCACAGTTCAGTCAAGGTGACTAATGACACTGGAGGTGAACTAGCTACCACTAATAAACTCCAATGTGTATCGAAAAACCAATTATCAACTTCTAGTGACGTTTTACTATCACATACTTTACTAGAAATCAATGTCCGATGAACAACTAGGGAAATTAATATCATACTCACAAAGATCTTACATTTATTTATTTATGGGAACCGAAAATCTACAATCTAGAACTTGCAGCAGAAAACCATACAGTGAGAGCCGCAGCATAGAATTGACAGATAGCGTGTCTATCCAATACCGAAGTTGGGTGGTGCTGGCATAAGCCCTCCAATAATCGCAATGTGGATCGCTCGAACGACACACTAAACAACTGAGATCGAACATCCAAGTCTCGTGGCATGTAAGTCACATGTACATGGGCCATACAGGAGGTAAATCCCACAAGGAGAGTGAAAAGACATATAAAAGCTACCATCAGGTGATCGACACGACAGATTTACCCTGGCTTATGTTTACATCGTTTCAATTCAGTTAAATAGGCACAGATAAGAAAAGGTTCATTGCCCCTGGGATTTGTATCTAAACAGACAGAAATGTATCACTGTGAACTGATTGCACAATAAACTAAATGCATGTGACTTGGTAATAGAACCGATCAATCAAACCACCAACATGCCTATCGGGATTAGCGCAAGAAAAAATACCCCAGTACTTACCCAGGGTGAGGACTGACCAAATACTGGCCTCTAGAACCCGCACCAGAGCGGCAACACAGCCCTGATCTGTCGGTGTGTTCTGTATGAGTAGCGTGTAACAAATTGGTTTGGATAGGCCGGCATGAATGGAGCGTGGAGGGACCAAGGTGAGCGGTACACTCGGTGGATTTGAAATACCAGGTTCTGTCCCTTGTCTACCGAGAATCCAAGAGACGATCGCACCAGACAGAAGGTTAAGCCGTTGCTCAACCGCATTCAATTCGACTGACACATTGCTCACCGGTCCTGATGACTGTGGGGCGCCTGACTGAATCAGGCGCATAACCTCGGCACATAATTCAGTTAGTTCCGAGAATTCCCCAGAAGATGGATCGGCTACGGTAAGATAAGATGAAACCATATAGATGAACGAAATTGAGGTAAATAACAGTGGGTTTTATGAAAAGCATGTAAGTGGTAAACTAACCGGTAAGTGCCATAGTTGCTCCTGGTATCAATAGAAAACAATAATGAACCCCTTCTATAGAGCCGAACATAAAACGTGTGGGTGAAAACGAGAAGTGATTACAGCTTTAAAATTATCAACAACATTACTGTTACTATTTCCATTTGACGAAGTTCAGCAACTTTGTGCGTGTTGTTTCGGGATAGAACCGTCGAACTGAAACGGGTGTTCGCAATATCAACTTGGACAATTAAATCAGAGCACTGCTGTGCCATTCGAATAACATCTACATCACGCCTAAAAAAGTAGGGTACCTGATAGAAGTAGCACCTCTGAGTTGATAAACAGTCGCGTCGTGTGGGACTCGATTCACCTAGCTATCTAGGACTGATCCGCCGCTGCAAGATTCTGATTCGCGCTTTAGCGGCCACACTATGGTAAATCGTGGGCTCAACCACGCTGATGGTAACCGAGACAGTGTACGGAATACGAAGCTATCGATTACTGAGTGGATGAACAAGCCTTCTACCTGATTCAATGACACAGTTCTCGTCGGACAGTAACATGGTGTTCCATATCAAAGGATAAACCGACTCGACCTGACCACATAGATGTAAGTTATTGTTACAGTGGATCCGTACAAAATTGCAGATACTGTTGATCAACCTGCACTGAGTCTGATTACACATTAATACTGATGTGCTTCACGCTTCAACTCATCGGTCACCGGCGAAAGTCACCTCCTCAGTTAGCTCATCATCGCTTGCGTGACCCAGCTGTTTGATCGTTTACATGAAATCTGCCGTCCTTCGTGTTTCGGTTGAGAAAGTATTAATTAAACCATCGTAACAAAATACTGTTTTGCATCATGAGCATAGTGCTTCAATATTGTTTACGCGTGGGTATTCAGAATGTTCACTGAAGTTTTATATATCTGGCGTATTTTATCATGTCATGCACCTGGGCAGAATACAACCAAATCAACCAAGTATAAAACCGGCATGCAATGTAACACATGTACAGTGAATGAAAAAAATACAAAAGACAAATAATGCAAAGTTATTAGTAATTTCTTACCCCAAGTAGAAGTGGCACCGACTGCTTCCAGTTCAGAGAGTAAATTGCCTATTCGTAGCCAGCAAAGAACAGCCAGAATACGAGCAGGCTCCTCGGTTTCACGCTCATTTGTTGATGCCAGGTTGACGGTAGAACTCCTTAGTCTTCTGAATAAACTACCCATCGGTTGAGCCAGAAAACGACTAAACAATGATTCACCGAGCGATTCATTCGAACTCGCCACAGGTTGGGCGATGGTTGATAAAAGTGGACCGGCTTTGAGTGTTTCTACATCACGTGCAGGTATCTGACCCCGTAGCAGCGCGTACTGTAGGAGACTAGTGATTTTTCGCAAATAACAAAGACGCTTGTGGACCTGTGAGCGCGGAACGGATGGTGGGAATGAATCCAATGACGGGTAGAGACGGTTGCTCGATGATGAATCTGAGGGTTTATGAACAATGGGTGCATGGCCTGGAGAGGCAGTCATACCTCCAGCAGAGGCCAGAAGACTGCGACAAAAACAAGAGAAAATGTGAATAAAAATTTTTAGCAACCGCGTGAGTGCAGTTGCAAAAATAAATCTGTGAATGGATTATGGTAGAAAGTATTTGATCAACCCTTTTTATTCGATTTCAGATTGAATTTTGGTTGCGTGTTGCGAGATCCTACTCACATCTGTGAGTAGTATGATTGGACTTCGTAAAGGGATTTGAATGGTGGTTTCTCACAAAGATCAAAAATGAATAAGATCTCATAGAGCGAATGCTGTATTGAAAAATGATAACTACGGACTGTTCCGTTTACCATCATGTGTGCCGCTGGGAATTTTGATGACATGTTTCAAATTACACGTCTTGTTATTTATCCAAACCCTAAATGTGGTTCGTTGAAAACAAGTTTCCTCTAGCCAACACTGGTCTTTGGGAAGCACGACAATGTAGGACTCCCTTTGATCGACAAAGGAATCATTTGGGGTGTAGAATAAGACATTGTTTAGCATCGTTATACAATTCGTTTTGTTCTCCCTCCCTCAAAGCCTCAGTATGGTCGGGGAATGGCCACTCCTCTTGCACCTGGTGCAATACCCCCATTCGACTAAGCGCCTTATATGGCTTCTGCTGATGAAGCTCTACCCAATTCCTTTATCTGGCGGAGTTGTTCCCTACCCGACTGAGAGGAAAAAACAACATTCGGAGTTATAAATGGGTCGATGAGAAACTGAGGGATCACGCAGGGGAGTGAGCATTGTGGAAGCGATCAAAATTCGTGTTCAGCACCGTTCACTGTTTGTGGTTGATGGGCATGGATGGAAGAACTGTTTCAAGGCTCAGTCCATGAAATGTGTAGCACTCGGAAGCACTGACCGCGGTCAGTCCTTTCAAACTGTTTCGGTAAAGCCGGAGAGATTAGATCGGGAGTTAAAAACTCCAAGAGATAACCCAGCGTTTGAGCCAGTGGTGCGAACACCGTAGAAGTTTACTGTAAGCTCCCACCCACCCATCTTTCGATTAAACCTAACTGCGTTCAACAAATTCTGTTTTCCTTCTTGGATTTCCTATAATTGCTTTATGTTGGTTCCCGTTATTAGCTCAAATTGATTAGTGTGCAGCGCGCAAAGCTTTTTCACACCAGACGCTTCTTTACATCAACTCATCTTCGACTGTACAGAGGTCAGATTAACCCTGCTGTTGAATACTACAGTCACGTGTTGGGTAAGGCTTCGTCTTATTTGCTTTCCCTACTTGATTGTGTTCAACGAAAGGCCATTTAGCTGGTCGAGGAACCTTCGTTCACCTCCGATCGGCAGTCACTAGCCCATCGTCGAGCATTTGTTTAACTGGCCCTTCTCTAACGTTATTACTTTATTTTTTGTCCTCCGGAGCTTGCCTCGGCAGTTTCCCTTCCTGTAACTTTTGAACAAAAACATTCTGTGTACAGGCATCTAGTCATTCCCATCAGATTCCGGTCACCAGATGTTTTAGTTCTCTGCTATAATCTTTTCCCCACCGAAATGCTAATTTGTGGAACACCCTCTTACTTTCTACCTTTCCTCCAACGTACAACATTACACTCTTTAAATGCAAGAACAATAAACTGCATCTTACGTCAATGTCCCCTAACTCCCCTTTACAGTATGCTCTTTGGTTATGGAAATTTCCAATTTACTGTAATTCACATTATGTGTACCAAGAAGGCTTCATCGCATCAACTCCCAGAAGCACATAAAAAGCCAAAATAAAATGCTAAAAAATCGCATAGTGTAAAAGAAGACCAGAATTCATCTTCCTTGTTACATTCACGCTTGACGTTAGCCAAAACAATGCATGGATATGAAAGGTAGACCCAAAAGTGACTACAGTATGAACGTGTGCAGTTAACCTGTTGGAGGACAGTCAATAATGAAACTGAGTTGTAAAGCAAATTGAGTTCTCTTACTGAGTAACTACTCTCAGCCTACCTGCCCCTCGCTCCCCCTCAGATGTGTACTTGACACTAACATCAAATATGGATGGGTTATAACACATCTTCGTACAACCAGCACCCTGGTAGTGTTATATCCATATAGATGAAGCTACATGATTTCAGTGAGTTAATTGGGAACATATTTACTTTTGGGATGAGCATTTTGAATAAGTGACGGTAATCAACTTGCAGTACCAGAGTCAGATGTACACTAGTAGCAATATCAGTCATTCACACCCTGGTTCGAGTCATCCCAGACAGACATAGATAAAAATACCATGTAGATGAGACAGAGCCTTCAAATTGCGTCACTGGTTCAAATTACACGGAATCTAAGTCGCCAATAAACTAAACACCTGCCTCCGGAGAATTCTAGTAAAACCTAAAGGGAAGACCATGGAGAGAGGCAAGAGCAATGTTATCTACAAAATAATGTGCAAGGACGGCCAAAAACACTATATCGGACAAAACGGAAGACGAATACCTACGAGAATCTGTAGATGTCAATTGCATTCAGCAGGTATGACCCATTATCACTGGCTTCCCTTTACGAAGGACATCAATCCGACTTCAAATAAATGTGAATCATCGATCAAGCCTGGTCGAAATACACCAGAGAATTTCTCGAGATTTAACACTCTTCGATTAGCGCAGTGACACATTGAGCTGGATCAAAGGTACATGCCAATGCAACTGAAGGAAGAAATAATGCAACAATAGGTCACTTTGTGACTCGAGAACGGATCTAAGAAAACCACCATTCGGACGGAAGAACAATTCCCCTCTTCCTTCACGCCAGTTCCACAAGGGACAAAAATAGTCATAGTCACACACATAAGTCAATCCAAAACCGCTGAAGATGTCGTTTCAGTTGGTGATGAAACGTTTGCAAACTAACTGCTAAGCTCGGCGAATAGGCGAAAATCAATTCAGTCCACCCTGACTAAGCGAACCGATTTTCAATACTATTCTACTATAATACTTGAAACTAATGCACCCTTTGTTCGAATCACAAAAATTTTCAAATGAATGTTAAGGGGGTATGCACCAACCCCAGTGAAATTTTCACTTACCAAAACAATCGACCTTCCAAGCTGGTTGGTGGCATGAGAACACAATGAGCTGGTAGCTGAAGTTCGTCCATGTTAGATAAAATAAAGGTGTAGTAACGTTCGCCGACCGTGGACACATCAAAACTACTCAGGATCAGTTCGATCAATTGTTGCAACGAGGCTTTCGTCTGTGAAACAGAAATAGAACATGGATACGAAAGGATTAGAACAAAATGATTCACGCGAGACATTACCGCGCAATATTCAAAGATGAGTTCACAGGGGTGAATGGCACGGTCGTACAAACAGAACAAATCACGAATTTACTTACTTCTACTGCTGAATCACACAGTGACTGAGTAAGCAACATGCATAGAAAAGTTAGAGAGCCCGCAAATGTGGCCGTCTGAGATTGCGAATCCGGGTCGGCAGGACACGGGTGAGGCAGAGTCGTTTGGTTCTCTACGGTATAGGTCCAATTGAGCTCATCCTGTTTGACTCTATCATCCCAATTCACGTGACGAAGACAAGAGAGAACAAAAGATGCCAGTGGCCGTTCTAGATGTAACTCACGACCGGGACCTGAGCACCAATTGAGATTCTAAAAAAACGAGCGGCATCTGTCACAGATCAAGCTGCAAGATAAGTAGTACTAGTGTATTTAACAATTACTTCAGACCGGAATCGAAATGCGGCTAAAAATGAGGTCAGCATCAGATAAAGAATAAAACAAAGAGCTGACATGCAAGAGCTAAACTTTATTCGCCGATACCAAATACACTATGAGGATGTTTAGAGCTCAAATGATCAAAGTGAGTATGATTGTGCTGATGCCAGAACACCCAGACAGCAGCGAGAAACATCGTGTACACATGGCATGTAGCTGATCGCTGAAAGAAGGTACGACAAATCCCAGATTCAAGGGAAGTTGTTTTGAAAGAGGGGGTGAAATGAATATTACGTCACACGATTAGAATTAAAAGGTCAATCGAGGGAGGCACGACTGAACACACCGGATACCACGACTACACCATTTTAAAATTGATTTGAGAAAGAAACGCTGTGGGATAGGGAAAAAACGTGTGATCAACTGACCAATGAGGTGCGCAGAACGGAAGCGGATCCAACCACAGCAGTTCTTTCTCAATTCAAAGTGACAGTTTCGCAAATCAATCTTAAAATGGTATGGACCACATGAAGTGATGCATGAGATAACACGATGCGGAGTGATCAAAGATCTGATCGGATGTGCATAGGTACACCAGCAAACAGCACAGATGAAAAAGGTGAAATCCACGGTGTGTTTGGTATGACTACCATTTTGACTAGAGGTCAAAACCACTAGTTTGAACAACGTAGTTTGTATCTGAACACGTGCATACTCCAGTTCAAGTGATCCTTAATAATGGCGAGTGAATACGAGATTTCAGACAGAGAATAGTTCCCATCAACATCGCTCACGGAACACGTTTCTTGCCCACTGATGCTAGACAGCCAAAGAAACTGGTAGGTAAAAAATCGCCTCCAGTCTAAAAGGGTTTCTAAATAGAACACTTACTTACTCACTTACTGCAATGCCAATGCGCAAGGTTTCCTCAGTAACATTTGGGACCTTCATTTGCGTTCTGGATCAGGACAGTCGAATGTTATCGCTGATGCAAAATACGCGGCTGGCAGCTAATATTCTTGACTCGAAACTACTCTCTCAAGATGTGATCATCCCATACGTTGTGCGGGGCCATGAACGTTCTTGTTTTAGCAATTTGAATCGTCCCCACCTCAATAAACCAAAGACTGCCAGTAAAATATACGAACATCAGTTCATACGGCTAATTAGCTCACAAACACCGCCCAAACATGTGAAAAAGACCAATAGGTTTGAGAGCGACCAATCATTATCAATATTGGATTAAGTATTAACAAGCGATAAGCCAATGGTCGAACCCGCCACCACTACATTAACCTAAGACGCATGCCGTACTACTATTGAAATGCGTGTGTTACGCCTCTATTAAACGAGATCTTGTAAAAAAAACCACAAATCCATAAACCATACCAGATTGCATAACTTAGGAAATTTCTCTCAGCAGGTTTTCCATCCACAGGAAGGTAATCTACCGGTCTCCTGGCATTGACCGATGGTCTTACAAATCTACTTATGTTGGGAAAAAACAAAAATTATTTACAAACTTGGCGTCCACACCTCGCTTATTCGAAGTCACAGAAAAAAATGAATATATGTGATTTACCTATCCTGGCGGAAGCACAAACATCTTACAGATGTCATCACCTGGAAGAATAATCAACTCTTGAGAGACCACTGTACCACTGTACCGGAATGCGAACGCTTCAATATGCGGGCGATGACAGAAGAACAGTACAAGTGTCTCATTTTCGTCTGCAGACTTCAATCGCCTCGAGATGCGGAGATCAGAACGCGTTTACTGAACACGATTGAATAACATTATAATACCACATTACGGACACTGACGGTAGTGTTAGAGACTGAAGAATTTCCAGCATGATCCTGCTATTGTGGAGCGCACCAGAACCACACATTTCCACGCGGTCGCCACGCAAAAAAACCGGCAACAGGCCCAAACAAACCTCCAACTGAATGTTGGCAATGCGGTGAGTGGCATTTCGTTCACTTTTGTCCATTGAAGAAGCAGAACTGCCAGAAATGTCACGAAAGAGGACACAAGGAAGACCATTGCCGTATGAATCAGAATTCCGAAAACAGAAAAACCGGGACAATCCAGGCACCAACAAACAATGCCTGGCCCCAAGTCACGTTGGATCATGGCCACATTCAGAAGAGATTTCGAGGAATGGAGGAAGATGTAAGAATTCCAGTAAACGGTATACCATTATAATTACAGATGGATATGGTATCGGATAGCCCCTGTATTTATACAACACATGGGAGATGATCGAATGACCCCAAATGACCGGACCAGACAGAGCAGCTCCGAATAGGTCCGGTGGAACACTGCCGTTCACTGGAGAAATAACATATGATGATGGGAATTCGCAGAGAATCCATTTTGCTGTATCAAATACTAGACATAACACCCGGTAAAATATTAGGCAATTCATAAATAAAACTCAATTAGGCTAAAATCGTTCGTGGAAAAAAGATGATTTTCTATACGCGTATACAGAATCAGTAGTCAATCAATAGTTTACACTTCATTCAATCTGAGGATCAACCGAAATAGCATTTGATATTTGCGAAGTTTTGATTCTCAAATAAACCTACTGAGATCATAGCATTTAGTGTATTAATGCTGGGGCACCACGAGGACCATGGCAAAGCGAGTTGTGACCACAAGCTGTGGCAGTCCGATTGCTCGTGTTGCAACGCACACAACCTGATGACCAACGGGACCGTTCGCAAACCGGGCGTTAAGCAGCGTCCAGCTTTCACGGCGGCACAATGGGTCAGCATCAGCCAGTGGGTGAACGAGTCCACAAGACGCGAAGACCAAGGCAGTTCGTATCCGGCAGAACATGCTGCAATGAGTGGAGCATCCAGTGCAAAAGGATAAATGATCAAACCGTGTGAGGCAAATCGATTACCGGCAGTGATGAGTCTTGTTTAATTAACAATTCAGTCCACGCATTTTGCAACGACAAGTCGCGTTTGCAAATGGGAACCGTGCCAGTTTCATACAAACGAAAAAAAAACATATTTTGTCACAATCATTCCATTCACTCGACCATGATATGCACCAAACTTCAGTGTAAAAAATCCGCCTCCACACGAATTCCAATGCAAGATAGTCAAATGATCAATGACACCGGTGTGGTTCATGCCTTATAAACACTATGATCTCAGATGACCACCATTTTAGAGTGAAACTTTTTCATCTTTTTTTGAGGAATTCGTCCAGAGGGTCGCGACAGTGAAGAAAATAAGATAGAAAATCAAATTTGCTCTATATAATTGGAGGTTTTAAAACTACCTTACAATATGATACAAAAAAATGAAAGGACAAGCTAAATTGCGACCACAGAAAGATCACAGAACCGCAAAGTGATCATCCTTTAGTTTCGCATACCTTCGTTGGCTGCGTTCAAAACACCAGAGACGCAACCAATTACAAGATGAATCACGGCTACTCCCTGTTGTCGGATATCGGACGAGTTAGAACAAGCGTTCCCAGCACCTTTGATCAGCATTTGCCCCAGAAGCCCGATCGTGTTGTCCAACAGAGGAGTGATTGCTGCGGAGCGGGAAACAGGGAATGGAAAAATCGGTAAATGACAAAACAAGAGTCACAGAGTTTCAAGTTGACCAGAAATAAAGTTGTTCAGCCATCGCACAATAACACAGCAATTCTGAAAACAATCATCCGTGAGCGGCTTTTTCAACGCCAATCGAGTCCGTCTTTAAAAGAAGCACGCATAAGAACGAAAAATCCCCGCCTTCAGAGGAATCGATAAGACTCATTTAGGTATTGTGAAATGGAAAAGTTGTTCAACCTATTCATGTGATCGGATTTCTGCACCGACAACGATTGAACTGTTTCTAAGCGAACGATCAGGATGTTCTCAGTAAGTTTCCAGAAACGGAACAACGTTGTCCGACCGGTCACTGGGATCTCATTGCCGTAACCGAAGCCTGGTTGACGACTGATATTTTGGACTCCGAGCTGCGATTACCGGGCATGGAGCTATTGAGGCGTGATCGTCCAATGCGAGGTGGAGGCGTGCTATTTTATTACAATAACAGCTTGCAATGTGAGCAAATTGAGTGCCCGTTCGCTGCTTCAGATGCATTATGGTGTAAATCGAAGCTAACGCAACATGATAGGGGATTGATCGGTGTATTTTATCACGCTTCTTCATCAAATGAGACTGTTGCAAACAATTACTTACTTCTTGTCATTGAATTTCACCCACGTCCTAATTATGGGTGACTTCAACTGCCCACAGTTGAACAACATGGCGACCTCATGTACGCCATTTGAACGAAAATTCATGCAGTTCATCCAGTCACATCCGTTGTACAATCATGTGAAGGAACCTACCAGGTTTGGCACCAACCAAATTTCTTCAACTTTGGATTTAGAACTGACAAATGAAGAATTGATGGTAGAACCAATTGCAATCGCTACTCCGTTGAGGAGCAGTGATCACGCTGTATTATTGCCCAAATACGTATGCTATGCATCGGGAACAACAGTTTCTTCGGTTCGCTTTCGCATCTTAACTGACTATGCAAGACTAAACACCCTGGCTCATGGAATCCACTGGATCTCCCCTGATATAGGATGTAATCCCCTGGAATCCTGGAGAAAATTTACTAACAGTATCACAACATCGATGGCTACTGTTACAACAGTCAAGCGTCTATTCCAGCTGACTGTTCGAAAACCAGCAAATCCCAGCAGAACTAGGAAATGCATAATGCAAAGGGACTTTTACTGGAGGGAGTTCAAACGTTGTCGATACCCCAGCAATTGGGAAGCTTACAGTTTCCTTCGAAACCATTGTACTTATTTGGTGCGGGAAGACAAGTACGCTTACCATGATACGCCGACGAGGAAATTTACCGCAAATCCTAAGCTATTATATAAGCAGCTAAACGCTTCCCGGAAAGCCAAACATCAGGCCCCGATACTAAACTTAGCAAGACGTGTTTCAACGACAACAAAGGAGGCTGCAGAAATGCTTAGACTACCGTACACTCAAGTAATCAATGCGTCTAGTAATACTGGGTTAGTACGTCTCCGTTTGCTGGAACATATCCCTTATCCATTACTGACAAACATTATCGTTTCTCCCGAAAGGATAAAAGCAAAGCTCCTGGCTTTGAAGAAAAACTCATCACCGGGTTTAGATAAGACAAATCCACAAGCCCTTATCACCCTGGTAAGTCACATAGCCGATCCTTTAAGTGGGCTATATCAAAAATTGTTTGAAGGTACTGTGGAGAAAAGGTGTTCTTTCACCAATTTACAAAGGTGGATGCCGTAATGACCCAGCCAACTACCGGTCAGTCACTCTCCCTCCAAAGTTGCCAAAAGTCATGGAGTCCATTTTTGAGGATTCTGTAATGGATCATCTGGAGAACAATGGCTTACTATCCCCAGGCCAGCACGGGTTTCGGAAAAATCGGTCCTGCGCAACCAACTTGATTTGGGCTCGGGACGATTGAACCCATTTTGTAGACCAGGGCAAAGCGGTAGATGTTATTTACCTGGACTTCTCTAAGGCATTTGATAGGGTAAACCATCAAATACTGACAGGGAAGCCATATAACTATGGAATCCGTGGACTCGTACTTGGACGAATCGAGGAGTTTCTTCGACTACGTACCATGTTAGTTCGTGTTTCCGATTCACTTTCTGATCCAATGGATGTCAACCTTGGGGTTCCACAGGGATCTGTGCTAGGTCCACATCTTTTCCTTGCCTTTATAAATGATCTTCCAGACGTCCTCGGACCACAAACTCTGCTGTT